ATTTGCTCCACCCAATTTAGCTGCAACAACTATTGCAAGTCATTGCATTAACCCAAAAAAAACTAATGCCATGTCATCAAATTATCAAGATTCTATCTAAAAAATGTAGATCTTTTAATAAAAAAACTCTTGATTGCAATGGAAATGCATTTCCTGCAACAAAAAATATAAATCTAATATGCTGTGCTACTAACCAAACATTAGATTTAGCTTCGGAAATACATTCACTAAATTAAAAATGCTGACATCTAAACAATGAATTTGAGGTAGATTTCCCACAATAAATGCTGCATACAGTATTTCTTGCATGTAACTGCTGTAATTACAGTTATAGTGTACCAAACAAGCCCTAAATTATCTTTGTTATTAAACAACAAAGCACATTGAAGAGGCAATATTACTATCATAACTATCAAATAAAATAGGGACAAAGATTGTATTGAAAGCAAAAGATTCACCTTCTCCACCACCCATATTTATGCTCTGATTCACAGTAACTTATTTCTAAACCCTTGATAGTAGCTCTGAGAGAAGCTCTGATTCACAGTAACTTATGTCTAAACCCTTGATAGTAGCTCTGAGAGAAGCTTTTTCCAATGCAGATTGGTTATCATTTCCGTGAAGCTCCAGCTTCTCCTAATAAAAGTCAATCCCTGAGCAGTTCCTGAAACCCTCCCACCCACAGCTTTCCCAAAATGACTTTTCTCATTTGCAGCTATCATGTCCAATGAAATAACGTCAGATATAACATCCTTAGAACCAATAAAAGACTCCTCAAGAACATCCCGATACCGCAAATTCTCAACTGCTACTTTCTGACCACCAGTATTTTTTTACTAGAGCCCAAAACTCAGAATCAACCTTCTGCATATCCTCAGACCTGGTCTTCTCTTGACATCTTTCTGAGCAATGTGATTGCAAATTTTACTTCGCATAACAAACTCTTGACTTAGTCGTTCCAGCTTCCACAATCTCCTTTTGAACTTGATTAAGATCCACTGCCTGATCAGCTATGGATTCTTTATCCTTCATTGGAGCTTTTACAAAAATATTCTGAAGTCTGAACTCACAATCTGCTAGCTGCAAAATCCCAATGATTACATCTAAACTCCTGCTCCAGCATCCATTGACCAACACTGGAGACTCTCTCAGAGGAATCTCCTGAAACATATTGTTCAAGGGTTTTACTCTTCTTAGTATTCTTCCAAAAGCTCCAACCTATCCCACGTTTGTCAGATTTACTTCTCTTCTGACCATTATCCTTCACAGCAACATCATGAATCTGTGATCCAATCCACTCAAGATAGTAATAATAGATAACCTAGCCTCATATCTGACCCTTATATGTAAATTCCGATGTAGACATTCAGAACCGTAGGAATATCTTGAACATCACAGCATCAGTAAACTCAGACCCTGACCTAGCCTGTCTGTAACTCAACCAAATCAGCAAAAGGCTTAATAGCTTGAGCAAAACAATACTCTGACCTCTCTGTGAGTCTTTACGCCAATAATAGACTGTCAGACTAGACAGAAAAAAATGGTGTCTTTATACCAGTCCTCATCATCTCATACACTAAGATTGCATGGACAACGTAATCTCGCTTCATATTTAAAGATAACATGGTAACATCTCAATATTAAAATTTTCCCAAGCTTCCGAAGTCCAAATACTCATACCTAATTAACATGTTCTATATGTAGATAACAGCAAGTCAGCAATCAAAGAGAATGATGGAAACAAAAGCATATTTATTTAATATCAACAAAGAATAGAAAACTCTCTGTTTTCTCCATGTCTTATTATTTGATCTGATGAAGAAAACCTAATTTACAAAACATTGAAAATTCAAAATTGATGCTGTCAAAAATGGTATAAAACAAAAATGACCATGATGAATGACCTAATCGTGTAATATGACTTGAATGTCAGAAGTGGTACGACGAAGTTGGTGCCTTGGCCCTGCAAAGGTATCAGAACCTAGATCCGTCTGTCGAAAAGAAGGAAAAAAGAATGATATAATCAGTAGTTGCCAGGAATTTAACATTATTTGCAAAAAAAAATTTAAATTACAGAAGATAGAGCAGTGCTAAAGGGAAATCTTACAAAACACTATCCAAGACCACATTGGTTCGTCTTTTTGATAAAGTCATAATTCAGCCTCTAACATAAAGTTTAAAATATAAGGTTTCTCATATGCTTAGGATTTTAAAAATTATCCACACTGCAACAAGGAAAGACTAATGCCATCTTCTACATTACATAAGGAGAGCTGGAGGAACCTACAGGATGATCACAAATAGCTCCACATTGACAATGAAAAAAATGGCACATCATAATTTATGAAGATGTGGGAGATATAATGATTTTAATCATTGATGTCTGTTGTGTGTAGGAACCTTAATAGTTGGATTTATCAGGTTAAATAGGTAATGATTGGGTTTGGATGAGGATGGCACTTCCTGAGGTAGAACATGAGCCAATTTTATCTAGCTTATCAACTGAAATGAAAAATCAAAGAGTAATAGAAGTTCTTAATGAAATGTTGGTATTAACAGCATACTACTATCTTTGTAATTTGAATTTAGAATTCAAAATTCAAACTAACTTCCTCAAGGCTAATGTTTTGGGCTTCTTCAAGACTATCATTTCAGAATTACATCTGCGAGCTTCATCATGTCATTATTTTCTTTTCCTTTCAATCATAGTGTATAATTAATTGTTTCTGGCACAGGGCTATGTGTCTTGCACTAGGGTATGGATTTCTCTTTTTTATGACGTAGGGATTCTGATACCTCTATATGGTATTAAGTAGTTTACTTTCTTGTTATTATACATTATATCTGAGTACAAGTGCCCTTTTCTTTAAAAAATCAAAAAATACATGCTAGGAATAAAAGAAAACACATCATGTATGTAGATTTCATGACTACACCATCATCTAATCCATGAATGTGATACAGATTCTAGAGAAAGCTCCAGCAGGCAGGACTGATTTTTGTCACCCTCCATGAGCCTGATGTCTTTCTCACACATGAGCAAGCGAGGGTCTTGCCATAATCAAGATATTGAAATGAATCTAGAAGAGTGGATCTTCCACTTCCTTTTTGTAATGGGGTTTGGGAAAAACTCCGAGCCAGTAGTATATGCAACAAGCATTCTGTAACCAACTATTTAGCTCAAGAAAAGAAATAAAAATCCTGAAAGCTGTTATTGTTTTGCTAATGAGTACTTTCAGTGTGGAAGGAGATTATTCCCAATTGTACAGGCATTACCTACTATATTTGTTTTTGTGTTTGTATTTATGTTTTTGTGTTTCTGCGTGGTGCGTGGATGTGTGATCTTGTGTTTTTTTTTTGGCGGAAGTTCTTGAATGAATTATTTGCTATGATTACTAAGAACCATCTAGCTTAATGAGGAACCAAAATTGTTTCTAACATTCAAGAGTTTGAACAACTAATGAGAAATGACATATTGTTTGAATACTGGAATATAATTGATGGTCCACCACAAACATTCAAGGTTTTCATCCTACTTGCATTGCTCTAGATAGGATCACTTTAATAGGCTACAGTTCAGTGTTTTCTTGCCCTTCCGTATTATTCTTGAATGATTTTCAGTAGGATATGATTAGAGCCTTCAAGAAAACTGGTCTTTGAAGACTTTAAGAATCTAAAATATCTACAGTGATGAGATGGTTGTTCAAGAGGGTCATTCTTGATAAAATAATTCACTTGCAACCTCTGAATTTGAAAGGTTTTTTTAGCATTGGAGTCTAATTGGCCCTATTTAGAATGATTTAGAACTGTTGGCAGAAGACATGTAATGCTTCGACAAAATGAAACAAATGGTTTATTCATGCTGATCAGTTAAAGTCATTGATGTTAAAAGCTCAGAGCGTTATTCTTAGTCAAAGAGAATATATGACACTTTATTAAAACGAAAGGGCATGAGTATTATTCTGAATTACTAAGAAGATGATTCCTGGGAGAAGATTCTTCTAATTCCATTAGATTCACCTTGATATTGTGATCTCCATTATCACAAGAAAGCACCCGCAATTAATGCAAGTTCTTTTCTTCAATTAGGTATGAGAAATTATCCAAAATAGTAAAAAAAATCAGTATGTGATACCTAACTGAACTTGGAAGCTATCTAGGATAATTCCCTACTATGAGGAAACCATTCTGAGAAGCAATGTTTTAAATGTCGGATGTCGGGTTCATGTCGGTTGGCCAAAATTCATGTCGGATAGCGGAAATCGGGGATATATCGGGGACATGAAAAAAAATATCGGATTGCCATATCGGATAGGTTGATATAATATCATAAATAGAATCTTCACTTACATGATAATTATATTGTCTAAACATATGAAAAAGTACATAACTTATTGATGTTAAGATCACTAACCAATTGTAGACACCTGATTTCCGAGTCGGGTTTTTCAAACTTGACCCAATAAGCTTAAAACCGCTTTTTCTGAAATTTGGCCGATATTTCTTGGCCGCAATGGCGCCCGACATACCCGATATTTTCTGACATGTCCCCGACATGACCTCAGAAACGCAATACGCATTGAAATGAAGGATATCGTGGCGGATAGGGTATAAATCCGCCATATCGGCCGCCATGTCCGACATGGCGGCCGATATTTAAAACACTGCTGAGAAGTCCTCTAAGTGAATCTTTTAGCAGAGTCCTAGCAACTGAGGATGTGATACACAGACCTGCAGACATACTATAGGCCTAATCAAGGCATCTTCCTCGTTGCTTGTCTAACTGATACAGTACATCACTGTAAAAGTCAGTTATCTCATTGACAAACAGAAACACCTTTACATCCTACTGAGAGTTAAAACTTAAAATGCTAATAAATTATGAGATGCAAGAATGTAAAAGGTATTTATCGATACCTTTTCAAGCTATATATGCTTGTCATAACATATTATACAGGTCTTTGCTTGAACTATTTTATTCATGAAACATGTGTATGCCTTCTCATCCACATGCTCAACTTTATCATCGAATGAAAATAAGTTAAGACAGAATGTTCATATATCCCTACTTAAGAGCATAATTCTTAATTGCTTACATACCAGTCGCCTCTTAAGCTTAAAATTTTGATCCTCCAAGTCCTTCACCTTTTCTTCCAGCTCATGTATATAAGCCTATAATCAGCACAAGGGGGGAACACAAACAGAAACTAAATACACTTTTTCAGAAAAACATGAGAAGCCATCGTATCTCAACTCTGATGAAGGGTTACCTGCTTCCTTGCCCTTGATCGAGCAGCTGACTCCCGATTCTTGATCATCCTCTTTTGTCTCCTCTCAATATTTTTATCAACAGTGTCATCATTACGATTTATCTCCACTAGCATCTGCATATCAGATGAACTAGGCTTAACCATTGCCATGGACACCACTGGCATTGGGCTCTCAGGAAATCCAGCATTCACACTGGCATTTCCAAAAATTGGCAAGCTCGAACCCAAGATTTCCATCTCTTGGTGTTTTTTCTGCTCAGAAGTAGTATTATGTTCATATTCAGTGGCCAACAAAGATTGAGACTTCCCTTCATACCCAGTATAATTTGCACCAGATTGAATCAAGAATTTATCCATTGCATTCTTGCCAAATATTGAAAACTTATCATCAGTCACAGACTCTTCTTGATCTGTGATTTCTCTCAGAACATCATGGACCATTTTTTGGCCAAGGGTGCCATTGAGATTGAACTCTGAAGGAAATGATTGGGGGATACAAGAAGAGGATGATGAAGATGATGATGGAGCTTGGAACTGTTGCACTGCATTCACAAGCTCCTCGATGTTCATCTTGCATGGGACAATACCAAGTTCAGGAAGATAGCTTTTTAATTCATCAAAGTTGTGGTTTAAGAATGCTTGTTGGAACTCCGGTGCTTGAGCTCCTTGAGAGACCATGGTACTAAGCCCCATTTACTGCTGAATCTCTGTTTATGTTACCTGAAACTAGAATTTTACGGGGAATTCAGATTTATTTGATTGAATCTAATCCATTTGTTCAAACATTTTCATGTCGGTTATTCATTTCAAACAATGAAAAGCAAGAAAACATGCGAAACAAATAATATCATCAAACAGAAAAGCAATTTTGGAAGTAAGAAGGAATATCAAAAAATGCAACCAACATGTTGGGTTCGGTTTGATTCAGCACAAACCAAGATACAACGGTACATTAACAAATTTACTTCAGAATGGCTCAGCCAATATGCAGTGTTAGAAAGATCAGTGATATTACAACACCATGAGGATCAAGTTGAATGGAAACTAAAATTACAGGAGCAGTATAGGGGGGGAAATTAACTGTGTCTCATATCTGTGGTACCATCAACTGAGAAAAGAACCTCAAATTTTGAGGAAATATCCAGAGACACTAAATAAACATCTGTTTTAGACTGGATCATGATCTGCTATAAACATCAGAAGTTTAGGCAATCATGTCTAATTTGATTGCCCATTTCCACTTCCATGAAATAACTAATGAAATGATTCACATTGTAGCATGTTACCAAATAATAGCTCAAAACCAGAAATTATGCCACAAAAGAGTCTAAAGACATGGAAGCCAATAAGATTAGCCAAAAAAAGGGAAAAACAGAAAACCAGAGCTTGGCAAGCAAGCAATCATGGAAAGAAACTTAAATCAAAGCAATAAAACATTGAGTGTCCACTTCAGATACTATTACTGATTCATTTAGTTACTTAGATTTAAAATGACATGAAAATTGTTAAATTTCTAGTGAATATTTATTCCTACCACTTCACTTCTTTACGATTTCACTGGACTCCTTCGCCATAATTTGTATGTTACATGTTATTATAATAGGATCACACTTGGTTGTGCAATCAAATCATTTACGAAGAAACGGTAAAAAAACCGTTAAGATTCAAACAAAAGAATCAGTGATAGCTACAATGCACCAATATAGGTACGAGGTATGAGTAGCAGGACAAACAAGACGTTTAGATATTGATAATAGCAATAAGACCATATGTGTGCACGTATAATCTTCCGCTGATGTTTATTTTTTGTTGTATGAATTTGTAAATCTGGAACAATTTGAAATCTAAAAACAGTCCCGGTCATTATGGAACATTTCCTAATTGCATGGAAACATCGGTAATTTGACAAACCGTATGCTTATTAAGAATAAAAGGTATTATGTAAATGCATGCATGTTTGTTTTCTTACTCTCAAATAGAATAGTGAGCTCATCAACCACAATTTCTTAGTCTCAAATAAATTTATAATATGTATTCGATATGTTTTTCACACTTCGCGAATCCCAGAATTTATTAGGAGTAGCCAACATATATCTGTCAAGTATCGCAATTATAGGTGCATCTTTTTCATGAAATTTCCCAAGCAACAAATGTGATGGGGGTGTCTACAAGTACCTAACTTAGGGAGAAATTTAAATGAACTTCTCAAACAAAAATGCAAGAGTTGGGTTAAAACTTCAATGCGTTAGGTGATTTAAGAATCAAACAACTAAAATTGTTTGAGAACTAAAATTGTCGCATTAGAAAGTGCATCGGAACACAATTCGTCCACAGTTTAAAAGATAAATAAAACTGTATAAAAGCAAGAGAAAAGTTAACAACAAAACACAGCGAATCGATAACTGAAAATAAAAAAATTGCAGAAAATTTCTTTTCTAAAAAAAAAGTAAAAAATTTCCACCGAATAAACAGACCCCCCATTAATGATATCTAACAATGTAACTCACCAAAAAAACAAAGAAAAAATGGAACTCAGTAAATCAACAATCAAAATTGAAGGACCCAAAACGCACCCGGTCAATAAATTTGAAATGGGTAAAAAAAAAAAAACCCAACAATGAGACTGACCTCAAATGGAAGAAAACCCAGTGCTTTATTACCATCCCAAAAAAGGATGGGTTCAAATAAGCAAAGAGGGAGAGGAGGAGGAAGAAAGGAGAGAGCCATTGGGATTTTATATCACGAGTGAGAGAGCAATTATAGGAGAGAGAGCAAGGCCGTTTCTCTTTCTAACAGTACGATCGGGAATTTGTTGAGATCTTGATTGGGTTTTCTTTTAAAAAAAGTTACCAACAGACTTTAATTGGTGTTATTTAAAGAAAAAACATTTATGTTTTAGTTATACTCTCTTTATTTCAATTGAAAATACCATTAAGAAATACAAATGTGATATATATATATTACTTAAATTTAAGATAAATCAGTAAAATTTGGATCTTGATTATCAGTAGTGATTAAAACAAGTGAATTATGGGAAAATTTGCAAAATAGACTATTTTTATGAAATATATAGCGAAATAGACCACTTTGAAAAATAATTAGTAAAATAGATCTCTTTTGAAAAAAAGAGGTCGATTTTGAAAAACAAGGCTCAGAAAACATACGAGCCTACTAGTCTCGTATGTTTAGAGCCAACTAATTACGGATTAGTGACTCAGAAAATATACGGGACTAATAGTCCCGTATGTTTTCTGAGTAGAAAATTTTACTAATTTGTGATTAAAACATACGGGATTACTAGTCCCGTATGTTTTCTGAGCTGTTTTGCAAAATAGACCTATTTTTAGCCAACTGGCCAAAAAGATGTCTATTTTGCTAATTATTTAGTAAAACGATCATTTTGCTAAATAATTAGCAAAAACGGTCTATTTTGTAATTTTTCCCGTGAATTATTCCAGCGTGAAAGAGGATGAATATAGTCAGTTTGTCGGTTTTTAACTATTTTTTTTTTTTTAACCGAACCGAAGGCCCCAAGATTTAGAACCTATGCGATCCATCGGTTCAGCTAGGCGCGGGTTTAGAGAACCTAGAATGATGCAGCTAACGAAATAAGATAGTTTGACCCAAATGAAAAGGGGATTACTAATTTAGATTATTATATGAGTAAATCCTGGGCAACCTTGATATTTTTTTCATTAGAGGGTTATCCATGTAATATCCGTTGCTATCCTCACCATTATACATGTAGATTAGAGGTGTTAACTGATCGAATATGGCTCGGATATGATAATTACCATATCTATATATGCTTATCAATCACAAATGTGAATGCGGATATAGATGTCTGGGTAAGAAAAACTCATATCTATGTATGCAATACGAATTTACATGCGGATATATATACGGATATACATGCATATACAAAAGGACAAATTTTCGTTTTAGACCTCTTTAGAAACATATTTTTAAAAATCGACCTATTTAAAAAATATTCGCCAATTTCGAGCCAATTTCAGCCAGTTGGCTGACACTGGGTCGAAATTGACGAAAAATGTTCAAAAGCTTCACGGGATTTCAAATCCTGTGAAGTTTAAGCCACTTATTAACAAGCTCGTTAAGGGGGCCAAATCTTCACGGGATTTCAAATACCGTGAAGTTGCAGGCTAAATTCTAGAGAGCACCGCTCTGGCGAGGTGGCATGCTCAAATCTCGTGGAGTTGCAGGTTTGCCCCCAAACATGCACAAAATTAGTGCATGTTTCTCATATACATACCTGAAATTTGACAACAATATACATAAAAAACTTTGCCTCATTCACAATAATATATATAAAATTTCTGCCTCATTTACAATAATATACATGAAATTTCCGCCTCATTGACAACAATATACATCAAAATCCAACCATAAATATAAAATTTGTAGATATATACTGAATTACAACAATATTCATAAAATTCAACCATGAATCAAATAATACACACAAAAATCATATATATAAATAATAATTGATCCGCAAAAGTAACAAATTTAAACAATCTAACCATATACATTCTTAAAATTCATAATCATACTGTAAAATTTCACATGCATCCCAAAAGTCCTCCTCTCCTTCCTCTCCCTTTCTTACCCCTTCCCCTCAATCTCCCCCCCCCC